TTCTTTCTGAGAAATAGGAATGTAACCAGTTAACAGCCCAACATTCTGTCTGACTAGCAGCAAGTTTATTGAATAAGATATCCCTAGGGACCGAGTCAAAAGCAGATGTATAGTTTAGGAAGGCACAACGAACAAATTTAGCCCCCTTGTCTAGACTGGAAGCAATGTTATGTATGACATAAGACGGCAGCTGCATCTAAAGTGCTTCTACTGTGCTTATAGGCAAATTGTTTAGGGTCATTAAAGGATTTAAGCGAAGGTACAAGACTAAGTAAAAGTAATTTCTCCATAGTTTTCAAAAAAGGATTGAATATTCACACCTGTAGTGCATTGAAATAAGTGTTAGACTAAGGAAAATGTATGTTGTATCCTTTCTTACAAAGCGTTAATACTTTTTTGCCAATCAAAGTATTAATGGATGCATATGGTTACTTATGAAGAAAAAAAGGAGACGAACAGAAATGGACTTATACATGATTTAAGTGAAAGACGAGGGATGATATAGTCCCATTAAGATAAATATTGAATAACTGTACAATAACTCTCTCACACACACATTAAATTAGCCAAATGTTTTCAGGTCGTATACACACTAACAACTATTCTTTCCATAGGCGTCATTATCTCATATGTGTGATTTAATCAGAAACTTAATCAAAAACAACAACAAATTTATACATACCCATTGTTGCGTAACACAGTGTAAAGTACCAAAAACAAGATTGAAATAATGAAAACAACGAGGGAAGAGTTTGTAGCAAAAAAAAAAGTTTGAATGCACAAAGAGGTACACACACGCAAATCACATGATGATGTAAGGAAATAGAGTGCTACTCTTCAATTTTATATTAACACTACTGGAAAATGTAAGCTTGAGGACCAACATTGAAAACCAACAGGGAATACTGAACAGATATGCTTCGTCCTAGTTGGGGACTCTTCATAGGTGCACACCCCATTGGGCTTCGAGTCCAGGACCTTCTACTTACAAGGCAAACTCGTAGACAATTGAGCCACTGGGATGGAATCCAGTGTCCCAGGAACTCAAACTTCTGCCAATTCATGATTTTAGCGTGAACGCCAGCCGACGTCATTGGTGAGTATTTGTTTTCAACTGGTTTCCGAACGAGATTAGCTAATAAGCAAACTTGAAATTAGCCGAATCCCTACAAACTAAATCTTGAAAGTTAATTTGATGCTGACTAGTGACTGTCTGTCTGTCTGTTTTCGACATAGAACCTTGCACCGATGTGCAGCAGTTCAAGTCGCCACACTCCATGTAGCACACAAAGCAAGAGAAGAAATGCATAATAGAGACAGTAAACAGAGGTATGAGGCAAAAAGAATAGTAATATCGAAGAACAATATAGTTTCATTGGAAATCATAAGTCACAAGGAGTGGATGCATCTGCGCCAGCCATTGAGAACGATTTTGAGCCATATCACCAATTGTCTCCAGCCTTTATTCGTTTTTACCGTCCCGAGGACCCTAACCAGGAAGTCTACATCTTCCTACATGGTTGGCTTAAACTAACTGTTGTGGATTTCATTGACTGGTGCCATGTTTTGGTTTGACCGCCGCTAGCTCTTTTCCAGTCTGACCCTATGTCAGCTAACATTGCCCGTTTCGAGGAAGGCGATGACTAGGCATACGTAACACATGTCCTAACCATCTCAATCGGTGTAACTTCACAGCCTCGTCGATTGATTTCCCCTCCTTACCTAGCACTCCACCCGTGTCTAACCTCAGTATTGCTCACCTTATTATACCACTTCACACGGGAGATAGACTAGTGACTAGCTACAGGGCGAAGTTGCCAGAAGTTCTAGTGAGAAGTCATGATCAGCGGGATCTAGCAAGTTGGGTGTGAGGACAAATCCTTGTCTATGACATTGGCTTCCATCCCAGTGGCTGAATAGTCTACGAGCTTGCCTTGTAACTAGAAGGTCCTGGACTTGAAGCCCAATGGGTGTGCACCTATGAAGAGTCCCCAACTAGGACGAAGCATATCTGTTCAGTATTCCCTGTTGGTTTTCAATGTTGGTCCTCAAGCTTACATTTTCCAATAGTGTTAATATAAAATTGAAGAGTAGCACTCTAGTTCCTTACATCATCATGTGATTTGCGTGTGTGTACCTCTCTGTGCATTCAAACTTATTTTTTTTTTTGCTACAAACTCTTCCCTCGTTGTTTTCATTCATTTCAATCTTGTTTTTTTGGTACTTTACACTGTGTTACGCAACAATGGGTATGTATAAATTTGTTATTGTTTTTTTTGCATTTATGATTAAATCACACATGAGATATAATGACGCCTATGGAAAGAATAGTTGTTAGTGTGTATACGACCTAAAAACATTTGGCTAATTTAATGTGTGTGTGCCTGCGCGTGTCTGTGTTTGTGTGAAGGCTTCAAAATTATCCTGCCTTCCTACTAGCGCAGAGAACACAACCACATCAAAATCACATACAACTAATTTCAGCTATATGTAGGAGATATATCGATTTCTGGGTAATTTAAATAAATGGATGAAGGCTCCTGACACCAATCTGTCAATGATACAAAGTTATAGAAGGTATCATTTTGTTATTATTATTCGCTTATAAATTCGTTCTTCATCTAATGATTATTGAATAATTTGTGGAGATTTTTTCACTCATAGTTTGTAGTGATTCACTTTAGCCAGTGAGTCCTTGGTTCGAATCCCATCAACTGACTGACTGGAGCGTCAATATACAACGTTGCACAAAAGTGCGCCAGTTCAAGTTGACACATTCCATATAGCCCACAAAGGTAGAGAAAAGAGATGCAAAAGCATTACAGTGGGCAGAAATGTACAGGAGAAAGAATAGGAACATGGGAAAAAATGAGGGTTAAATGGATCTGGGAGCTTACAAAGAGTGGATTCATCTACGTTACTGAGAACAGTTTTGAGCCATATCATCAATAGTCTCAAACGATTAGTTCTTAGCATTCATAAGATCCCAACTAGACAGTCTACACCTACGCAGCAACAGCTAAAGACTACATGTACTGATGCCATGCTTTAGTTTGACCATTCCTAACGTTTTTTCTAATCCAAGCCTATGTCAGCTAGTACTGCTCGTCGAGAAAAGCGGCGGCTTAACAGGCGCCAAATGCGTCTTAGCCATCTCAATCGGACACGACTACATCTACTTCGTCCTAGGTGACTTGGCAGTATCATCAGTCATCGCACACAATAAGTGTAGCTGAAAGAGTGGTACACGAAAGGTATAACTTAATGATATCTATCTAATGTGTACGGTTACCATCTAGGCTAATAAAGACTATTAGTATTTTTGCATTGCATAGAAATTAATGATAAATTAATCTCGAAAATGTGATGTTCACATTTTGGTCATTCTAATTTTATAGCATTTTCTCCCTTGTATCATTCCAACACTGAATTACGCTTATTTTCATTCTCTGATGACTGTCCCCGTTGTTCCATATTAGTTTGTTTATTAGATGTATCACACAGTGAGTGTAACAGTATTATTTACTGGATGACGTTTCGAATAAAATTTATTGTTCATAATCATTTCATCAATTGTAATCACACGACTTTGACACTTGAGTTTTATAGTTTTCTTTGTCCTCTCCTATTTGTCATCGTTGGGGTAGTAGAATTTTCCAGATATCAGGGTGGACAGGTGATGAATCATTCCTATTACATGTATTTGCAGTTGATTCGATAAACAAAGCTTCTGTTATCAATCTCTCCCTCCCTTCACTCTGTGACATTAGATTTTAAAACTGTCATCTTATCCCATCCTATTGTATGGTTGTGTGTAATTGCATGTAGTGCTATAGCTGAACTATTCTCTAGATTTCTTATCTTATTCGGGTCAATCAATCTAGATTTTGCTAGGTTTTTATATTCGACTAGTCTGACTGCCCCTGTTCTACTAGTTTGACCTATGTATTTGACCTGACAATCATTGCAGGCAAGGTATTAGATAAACTAAATTGTTTTATTTTAAAGGCTCCACAGGATTGATCCTTCAACCGACAAAGCTTGTTTCTAATTGAGTTTGTGGGTTTGAATGCCAGCCACTTTTATTCCTGCCAGTATTGTTAAGAATTCTGCGTAAGGTTTCTGAGGTTCCTTCCTTGTATGGAATTACTACTGATGATTTAGATTCCTTGTAGTTGGTGTTATCCTGCGCATATTTGAAATGCATGTCGTAATTAATATTACTATTGTTGTTATTATTATCACTATCACTACTATCATTATTTATTTTATTTTTACATTTCCCTACATATTTCCTGACTAATTTATCCGGGTAATTATTAAGTTTCAAGGCTTCTTTTATGTGTATCACTTCCTGTCTTAGATTTTTCTTGGTACTACTTAGTTTTTGTGCTCTGTTACTTAAACATTTCACCAATCCTATTTTTACTGACATAGGATGGGATGATTGGAAGTCCAAATATCTGTTTGAATGTGTGGGTTTCCTGTAAACACACACTAGTGTTTAACTTCCCATCTTCTTTCCTTTTTACGTTGCAATCTAACATTGGAAGCTCCCCTTCCTGACTTTCCAATTCATCACAAGTGAATTGAATTGCCTCCACCTTTGAGTTGATGTGTTCGAAAAATCTATCTATATCTAATCTAAATTTTGTTCGAAACCTTGTCATCCAGTAAATAATACTGTTTCTTCACTGTGTGATACATCTAATAAACAAACTAATATGGAATTACTTACTACCACAGTGCCCAAGTTTTACACATATGTTGTTGTTTTCAAATAGTTCGAATATGCTGAGAACCTGTAAAAAAAAACAAACTTATAACGCCGTTTCAAACTGTAAATTTGATCTCTCTTGATTTATTGAAATTTACCAAGGGGAACACAAGTCTGAAGTATATAATCTATCAACCAAGCTAAACTTGAACATTTAACATACATGCAGCTTACATTGATAATATTGAATTAAAATGTGCATAATTTAATAATTGAAATTTACCTTTCTTAATAAATCTAAATCTTTTAAATAAAATGCTGTATAGAATAGTGAATAAAATGAATTGACAAATTGAAGCTATAAAATAAGAAAAAAGAAATACCAAATAAAAAAGGAATCAGTGAAAATATGAAATGTAAAAAGGCAGAATGCAACAACATCAAATATCAAAATAATTAAGCTCACGCCTCATGTCACTCCATTTAAAAAAAAGTTGGATCGCGGAAAAGGTGATGAAAGAATTGGAGAACGAGATGACCAAATACCATTGCAAGATTCATTGTGACAACCTAGGGATTTTTGTTTGATTACATGGAGGATTTCATCATAAGCTGACATCAATTAGAGAACCACTGGAAAACCTGGGAGTACTGGACAGTTGTTTCGTCCTAGTTTGGGACTCTTCATCAGTATGCAGAAGTTAGAATTCAAGGACTATTGGATCGGGTCCCAGTGGCTCAATGGTCTACGAGCTCGCCTTGTAACCTGAAAGCCCTGGGTTCGAACCCCGGTTCCCAAACCTTCAAGTTATCACAAAGTCCTCTGTCTGTGTTTCACTTGTCGTGGTGGTGTGGAATGTATGTTTGGCGTAATTAACTGCGAGATTACTGGTGTTCTAGGCCAGTTTTCTATGACACCGCGATATACACCGAGTGTGTTAAGAGGAAGATAATGAAACGCAAAGGTTGTACTTTGGACGTTTTCGGTGGTTGATTATCTTGTAATTTTGACGTGAAATATCACACATATATGACCTGTATCTGCTTCATACTAGAACGTATCGTGTATACATTGCCACAATATATGTGATGGAAGTTTGAGAATTTCCAACTGGAAAACAATCTTGATGCACACGAATGTGTAGGTGAATAGTTAGAAGTGTCACGTCTGAGAATTTAGCACTGAACTAATTGACGATATACATCCTGGTCAGTTTTTTCATTAAGCCAAAACTGAACAGAGGTTTCGCTTAAATTGTCCAGTGGTTTATTTGTCAAAGTGTTAGATTATCAGTTTCAATCCTGAACAAAAAAAAACATCTTTGCAAACTACTACAGAGAATACATATATAATGTGATTCATACTGTCTTCTTAAGGCTTTTATTTCAATCTCCTATGACTCTTTCAAATATTTAGAGACTGCATGCTTGAGGCATAATTCAACACTTTTCTGAAGTTTTCAGAAAATTTTATACTGAGTGGCATAAAATATATTGGAGACTGACAATAGGATTTTGCGTCGATGGTTTGGTGGTATATTTCCCGCCAGACAGGGCTTCTTTGATTCCCGGACGATCTACTCCAACTATACTAGCAGGTAGTGAACACAAAAGTCTAAACTGGTCACCGACTCAGTTCCAGAGAAAACCTTATTCATGAACTTGGAATTCAAAGGTGATCAAGCCTCAGATATGCTCAAAAGCCGTCTCTCTAAATCAGTCAGGAAAACGTTCTTTGCAACAAAATTACATATGACGTTCACTAGCCGCAAGTTGTTCTCTACCTCTGTAAAAGATAAGCTCCCCCATCTGGCCGCCTCCATGTGCATCTATCAGTTCACCTGCTCTTATGGAGCAAGGTGCATTGGCCGTAGTCAGAGGACGCTTTCCACACGGATACGAGAACATATTCCAGCATGGTTTTACAAGGGAGAAAGGAAGTGTGTGCGAAGCTGTATTTTGGAACAACTGATCGACTTCTGTCACTCTGTCAACCCTGACCATGATTTTAAGATCATATGTAGAATCCATGCTAACTTCCCGCGTTACAGACTTCTAAAGACAGCTGAGGCCTTGGCAATTCATGACTTTAAGCCAGACCTTTGTGTACAAAAGAAGTATGTACAATCACTACTTCTGCATTGGTCGTAGAGGGATAGACATTCATTTATTGCTATTTATTTTGTTTATTTAGTTATTCTGTGTATTATTACTACGATTATTATTATCCTCACTCTGAGTTGTTTCCACTCGACCCACTTGTCATTCTAAACCCAAAATTATTAATTTTTAAATTTTTTATTTTTACAATATTGAATTCTATCTTATCAAATTACCATGTTACACAACATTTTATATTCGCCTACTAATCCTATAATTATGTACCCTCTTCCAAAATCTATACACCTTATGTATTATTCTATAAACGACATTAATTATTTTGCCACTTGACATTAAACTATGATTATAATCACAAATATTTTAATTGCATTTCATACTATTATTATTTCATGTATTCACACCTTTGACCTAACTCCCTCACCGGATGTAATTTTTATAAAAAAACCATATATATACGATTGTACAGCTTGATAATAAATTCGTTGAAAAGAGTCTCTTAGCTGAATATTGTGTTCTTAATGCTACAATGGTGCGTCGGTGGTATAGCGGTTAGGACGCTCGCCGACCATGCATATGGTCCGGGGTTCGATCCCCGACTGACGCACTCCTTTACCTCGCTAAGCCATAAATAATGCTGGTGAAGAGGAGAGGTTGGGCATGAGACTAGCAACCCCATCCTGTAAAACAAACACTGCTACAGAAACTTCAAGTCACTAGCTTGAAGCCCTATGTTCAACTGGGGAACGTGAAGGAGAAAAAAATGCTACAATGGGAATTATTAAATTATTGAAAAAAAGTCAAATATTAAACACACTGAGTAATATGAAAATGAATGAAACATATTCACCTTAATCTGATTACGTCATGTTGACTTAAGAATAAGATACAAAGACGTGATATCAAAGAAACAGTGTGGATACGCTGAACAAATTACCTTCAATAAACTGTACTTGGAATGGTGTCGTCAAAATATTTTCCGGCAGCAACTCTAAGAGTGATATTCTCTAGCCGCCCACTACTTCGGAGCAACGGGAAGGACAGACTTCCGCATATGACCACTTCAATGTGCATATATCAGTTCACCTGCTCTTGCGGAGCTAGGTACATAGGTCGTTCTATGCGGGTCTTATCAAAACGTGTTAGAGAACATCATCCAGCATGGCTGCAAAGAGGAGGCACTGGTTCAATCAGAAGCGCAATAACTGAACACCTCGTCAATACCTGTCACAGAATCTCAACTGACTCATCATTCAGAGTCATTTACAAAGTAAACAAAAATCTACCAAAGGCAGTGTGTTTCCGACTTCTTTGTACTGCGGAAGCTCTCACCATATGCATCGAAAAGCCGGAGCTATGTGTTCAAAAGAAACTAGTCCAGCCTTTACAACTACCATGGACCTAGTTCGGTATGTTCCCTTATCCTTCAGTTTTTTTTGTTTTGTTCTCTCTGTGTGTAATTTTCTCTCTTTGTCTTCATTCAATTCATCCCATTTTTTCTCAGTTATAAAATCAGTTGTTTTAAGTTTGTTTCCATGCTCCTCCTGATCACACTTGTAATCCGTTTAGAATAACCATTTTACAATTATATTCTAATCCTGTGTACTTTTTTGTGCTTTTATGCCTCTTGTAATCTATATTCACACCTCCTAACTTACATTTCAAGTTGGAAATTTTGATTTCAATTTGTTTCCACACTCATTTTGTTCACACCTGTACTTCGTTCTATCCCTGCGTAACTTTCGTCTCTAAGCCTCTTGTAATTCATATCAAGTTGAAAATAATTATCACGCCTTTAAAATTATTTCTCCAGTTATCAAATATTAATTTTGCATACGTTGTAACTGTTTTCTACTCCTATGCAATCTTGTCTCTAAGCCCCTTGTAATCTATATTCACTACCTTCAAACTTTCATATCAAGTTGAAAATTATTATCACCTTCGTTACTATGTGGAATTAAGTAAATAATAATTGTATCCATGTAAACTAATGTATATAAATGCGATTGTACAGGTGCTTTTGAGAATGAAATCGCCGAAAAGATCGCCATCTTTGCTGAACTTCTTGTTCCTTTCAATCAAAATATTGTATTTAATATGGAATTAATTATTATTTTTTTTGATTACAGCTTGATTCCACACCGTATGTTTTGGTACAGGTATGGGATTTTCAGCATGTGATATCGGTAGCCCAAATTTTGCAGGCCGAACATAGATATCAGGTGTGCGTCGGCAGGAGACCATGTTCATGGTCGGCGAGAGTCCTAACCACTGTGCCACCGACGCACAGTGTCCAAACTCTACTCTTTTTTATTCCTCTGCGTTCCAGTTGGAACATAGGGCTTCACGATGTAAAGTTTCAGTAGCAGTGGTATTATTTTTTTCATTTTTACGGGGTGACGTTGCTAGCCTTACGCCCGATCCCCACCCCTCTTTACCGGGCTTATCACCAGATAACCGAACCCTGGGCCACGTGCGTGGTTGACAAACATTTTGCAACCGAACTAAACATGCAAAAATTCTACTCTTATAAGAATTAATTCGTATACAGAAAATTCAAGATAATGAAAGAGAATGGGAAGTTCCCCCCCACCCCAGAACATACCAATATCAATTTGATTACATAATAATTATTGTAATCATCTTCCAGGCGATGATTTTCCAGATTTGTAAGCCAAACAGCTATTTTACGATAACTGACATCCATGATAGCAATAGAAACAGCTAGAAAAATCTAAATAATATAAAAAAATATATGAGAATGAAATTTCCATAAGTAAACATGAAGTCAAAAATAAATATATTATTATTGTTGCCTAAAACGGATGCCAGTTTTGAAACTGGCAATGCAGAAAGAAGTGAAGACGGATTGGAAACACACCTAGGAGGACGTTGATTGACATTACACGCTAAGAAGAACATCGAGTGGAACCCGAATGCGAAAAGACAAGTGGGGCGTTCAACGTCCAAGGGTGATACGAAGGAGGTCTTCTGAGGAGGAAATGAAAGTTTATGCGCAGTCGTAGAGCTAGCTAACAAAAAGTGACTGCAGAGAACAAGGTGAAATGAAAATTCCCTTCAGATCCCAAGGCAATAATAACGATGGTTGACTGCGAGACTATTTAAGATAATCGTCAGTTAGCGGACTATAATTGATGTAGTGGGTGATAGGTGTAGGTGAAAGGAAATCTGGATCAACCAGCGGCATCTGAATAACTAGTTTGATATGCTAGCAACTGTCAACCAGGTCAACAATTGACTGCAATCACTACAGGCAATGCTCAGCTGTTATGTGAATGAATTAACACTGCAATATGTTTGATATCCATTAAAAAAATGCTTCCCTACTTCTAATTTAATATACTAAGATTCACGACTAGTTCCTGTGAAATGTAAGATGATGTTGTAGGATTAGATTACACCTACTCTTAGCTTATGGATAAGAAGTGGAACAGTAGAGTGTATTGACGACTTCACTTTTTTCAGGAAGTTGTCTCAGTAACCCTAATGGAATGATTGCAGACAAAATCGCAGCACGGATACAAAAGGCTAGTGTGGTAACTGACAAATTGCTTCATCTACCTATCCGTCGAAGGAGGACGTGTGTACTCCACAGAAGTTCGCTCCTTACGACTGTGAGACATGGTCATTGAAAGTGGATGACATGAAAACACTAGCTATCTTTGACGACACATGTCTGTGTTGTATCTGCCATGTTAATGAGTATAATATGATGTGCAATATTGAGGTTAAATGTAGAGTGCTATGTACGGAAGGGAAGTCAATAGATGAGGTTGTGAAGCTATATCGATTAAAATGACTAGGACACACGTTACGCATGCTGAGCCACTGCCTTCCTCGACGTCAAATGAGATTTGAAAAAAGATGGAAATGGTCGAATCACAATCTGGAATCACTCCATGAAATCTTTGACAGTTGGTTTAGGCTAGCCAAATAAGGGAGTGTACACTGCCCAGGTGACGTGTTTAGGATTCTAAGAACCTATGCCTGAAGACTATTTATGATAAGGGTCAAAAGTCTTCTCAATGGCGCGGATGCATTCTATTAGCCCGTAATGTTTTCCCGTGTTATTCATTATAGTTCTTTTCTCTCTCTCTCTCTTTTCTTTACCTTTGTGCACTACAAAGAGTGTGTCAACTTGAACTGGTACACTTCTGTGCTGAATTCTCTGCGGAAACTCAGTCAATCATGTTAAGATTGAGATGAAAGGGATCTAGGTTGGCAGCTAGTGAGTGAGGACATATGACAGTTTAGCATTACCCGTGGTATGTGTAGTGGAGTGATGATGTAGTTGGCAGTAGGTTCTAATAGTTTAGTCATTAGATAGCCAAGCAAATAATTCGGATGTGTGTGTGGTTCGGATCCTACCACGACCCAGATCTCCATTTTAACTTTAATCATGATCTGTCTTGGGTAAACAACTGCTCATTTGAAAAAAAATAAGGTTAGCTTCATTAGAAAAAGAAAAATTATTTAAATTAGATTACTGAAATACATCGTTATTACAAGTCATTACACGTCAAGACAACAATCAGCATAAATGGGAAGAACCTGAAAGAAACAACCTCCTTTACCTACCTACCTGGGAAGCATTGTCAGGCGGAACTGACGAGGATATCAAAAAAAGGATCAGGAATGCAAGACAAGCTTTCACTACTCTCAAGTCTGTGTGGAGGTCAACAACACTCAGCACCAAAAATAACATCCGGATTTTCAACTCATATGTGAAGTCAGTGCTACTCACTATATGGATCAGAGACTTGGCGTGTCACCAAGAGCACTTCAAACAAACTACAGAACTTCATCAACAGCTGCCTTCCCTCAATACTGAAGATCAGATGGCTGGCCAGAAAAGATCAGCAACAGAGATCTCTGGCAGTGAGTGAACCAACCAGGAACCGATTGTGAAACAAATAGACAGGAAGAAATGGAGATAGATTGGCCATACTCTGAGGAAATCATCAAGTGACATCACTAGACAAGCCATTGCTCGAGTGGAACCCGAAAGGGAAACGGCGAGTTGGTCGTCCAAGGGTGACTTGGAGGAGGTCGTGTGAAGATGAGATGAAAGCATGTGGGCAGACTTGGAGCCAGGTGAAAACTCTAGCAGAGAACCGAACGCAATGGAGACGTGCAGCTGAAGCCTTATGTTCCTCTAGAAATTAAAGGAAATAATAATAATAATACAAGTCATGTAGTTAGAGTAACTGAAACAAAGTGTTAATTGAGTTAACTGTGGTCTCTCAGCTGGTTGATTTAGTTGAGAAGCTTTCGTCGTCTTTCTAGACAACATCTTCATCGTAGATTTTAGTATGGAAAACCTGCGCTGAAAATGTTGTCTAGAAAGACGATGTAAGCTTCTCAATTAAATCTACAACCAACTCAGAGACCACAACTAATTCAAAGTCATCCACCTAACTTACAAATCTTCTCCATTATTTCAACATGGTGTCTTCGTTGAATAGATGCTAACAACTTCGTATCAAGCCATTTACTTATACATTTTCACACACTCAAAAATGGGCTGCATATATCAATTTACATGCACATCCCAAAGTACATAAATCAGAAGAACAGAAGGAAAGATAAGTGATTGCATATCTGAACACATTTCGAGAAACGTGACTGTGGAAAGTGCCTAGAGACAGTGTGATTACTCGCCAACTGTTAGATGCATTAAAATCCTTTAGGATAATTAAAATATTCAAAACCCTACTATACTCCTGTGGTGAGTGCTACTTATAATCCGATATAAGTAGTATATCGGAAACGAATCCAGAAAAGTAACAATATGTTTGGCACACTGGAAAGAGCAATCAAAGAAGAGAACCATGAGAAGAATGTTGCCATAGGATGCAGAATCCAAGAAGCTATCGAATGTGATGATATTCGACCAATTCGTCAAGGATGTGGTAAATGACGTGCAAATGGCAGGTTGAAAATATGGTCTACCAAATTTAGCTATGTACAATACGTTTCACCAAATAACCATTCCTTTCAGCCTCCTCAGTCTTTTCTTCTTTACACTCTTACCTATTGTTTAAGCGAATTAATTAGGCATTCAGAAGGCAATTGTTGTTAATTTTGCTTTACTTTGGGAAAAAAGCTTTACATTATTTAATTGCTATTTGAATCACATTTTGTTTTGACAGTGGAATTTCCTACCCTGAATCTTGTAATTATCTATATTTTTGATCGGACTGTTTTTAGGCTATTTGACAGCACGTGATATCAATATCTTTCGCTTTTATCCGGTCAATAACTAAATTTTCAAAAGGCTGATTACTGAATAGAGAATTTTTTTCGATAACTACTTCATTAGGTTGTACAGTTCTATACGACTGTAATAATGAAAGAATTAGGGTTATTAACAACATTAATGCTTACATTGAATCAATCAACAATATCAAAAGATTGCAGTTCAGTAGCATATGTAAGCGTGATTATAATTATTATAGTTTGCTTTAGTTCCTAGAGGAAAATAGGGCTTCAGCCAAACGTCTCCATTGCGTTCCGTTCTCTGCCAACGTATTCACCTGGCTCCAAGTCTGCCCACATGCTTTCATCTCGTCTTCACTTGACCTCCTCCAAGCCACCCTTGGACGACCAACTCGCCGCTTCCCGTTCGCATTCCACTCGAGTGACGGTCTGGTGTGTGATGTCACTTGATGGTTTCCTCAGAGTATGGCCAATTCATCTCCATTTCTTCCTGCCTATTTGTTTCACAATTGGTTCGCTCATAGCCAGAGATCCGAGTTACTTATCTTTTCTGGCTAGCCATCTGATCTTGAATGGTATTGAGTGAAGGTAGCTGCTGATGAAGGTCTGTAGTTTCTTCGATGTGCTCTTCATGACGCGCCAAGTCTCTGAGCCATAAAGTAGCAGTAACTTCACATTGGAGTTGAAAATCCGGATATTATTTTTGATGCTGAGTGCTGTTGACCTCCACACAGACTTAAGAGTAGTGAAAACTTGTCTTGCTTTTCCGATTCTTGCTTTGATATCCTCGTCAGTTCCGTCCGCCTGTAGTTGAAACGATGCTTCCCAGGTGGGTAGGTAGTAAGGAGGTTGTTTCTTTCAGATTCCTCCCATTTCTGCTGATTGTTGTCTGTTATTGTTGCTCTTACTTTTGGCCAGGAATCTTCATCACGTCTGTTTTCTCTATGTTCACCTGAAGTCCTTCCTATCTTTGATGCTTTTTTTGCCAAATTGTTGCTTTTTACTTGCATTTCTTCGAGTGAGTGAGAAATCAGACATATATCATCGGCGAAGTCAAGATCCTCCAAGTTTTTCGTGAGGATCCATTTTATGCCTGTTTCCTCGCTGCCCACTGCTGTTTGTCGCATTATCCAATCTACTGCAATCAGGAAAATCATTGGCGATAGTAGGCAGCCTTGTCTTACTCCCATCTTTACTTCGAAGGATTCCGTGAGTTTCCTGTTGTGGATTACTTGGCATGCAGCATTGTCGTGAAACTGTTGGATGAGATGTATAATTGTCGGCGGCACTCCGTAGTACTGAAGTAGCTGCCAAAGTACCTCTCGATCGACGCTGTCGAAGGCCTTTTCAAAGTCGATGAAGTTGAGATAGAGAGGTGACTGCCATTCCAAGCTCTGTTCAGTGATGATCTGTAGTGTTGCGATTTGATCGATGCATGACTTGTTTCTCCTGAATCCAGCCTGTTCCGGTTGAAGTTTTTCATCCAGGGCTTGT